TTCCACAGTGGTTGCACCATTTTACACTCCCACCAACAGTGAATAAAGATTCCAGTTTCTCCACAGCCTCACCAGCTTTTGTTGCTTTCTGTTCTGTTAAATTTTGCTATTCTGACTGGGGTGAGATGTTATCTCATAGTTGTCACACTAGCTTTTTACCCCTTCCTTTATTCTTTGTTGTATTTGAAGCCAGTTGCAGACCGCCTGCCCCCTCACCTGTGCACTCTTGCACACAAATCTCTATGCTCTGGCCCTTTCCTTCCAGGGCAGGTTCTGGTAGCACAGCCCCGCCTCCCCTCACCCCTTTACGCTGAAGGAGGTTGTCCTCAGACTGAAATCGGTGATTTGTCTGGAATCTGAGCATGTCCGCTGCCTAGTGTGGCGTACCCGTGTTGTGATGGACCACCTGAGACACCATCTGCCACATGCATTTTGCCTCCAACGCCACGTCCTGTTCTTCACCACCTTGTTCTCCAAAGTGTTGAAGATGTCAGCCTTGATCCACGGGCTTCTGGGAAACATGGGCGTGCCTGTGTTGTGTGGGGTGGAGAGGGACCAGCTGAGACACCGCCTCCTGCATGTGTTTTGCCCTTGCACCACGTCCTGCATCAAGAAAGCAAAGATTCTCATCACGGGGCCAATTGGCAACTTCAGGATGGATGGTGAAGAGATTGAGATTGTACACAGCTTTAGTTTGCTTGGCTCCACAGTCAACACACTTGGCACCAGTAGCCAGGAAATTAAAAGTCACATTGCCATGGGAAAGTCTGCTGTTAGGGATCTCTCCAAAGTACTGAAGAGCAACAGTGTCAGTCTAGAGACTTAAGGTGCTCCTGATCCAGGCCATAGTCTTTGCAGTTACTTTCTATGCATCAGAGAGCTGGACAGTGACTAGCGATGATAGAAGGAGAATTGCTGTCTTTGAGCTGTGGTGCTGGAGAAAAGTATTGAATACACCATGGACTGCTAGGAGAACAAACATGTTCATCCTGGAGAGGGTGAAGCCAGGCTGCTCCTTGGAGAGTAAGGATTCTGAAGTTCCATCTGACATACTTTGGACATGTTGCAAGGAGGGATCAGTCCTTGGAGAGGGACATCATGCTTGGGAGGGTGGAGGGGACAGCGCAGGAGAGGAAGACTCTCAAGGAGATGGATTGATTCGGTGACTGGGGTAATGGGGGTAGGTGTGTCAGACACAATAAGATTGGCTCAGGATAGAGCAGAGTTTAGGGATGTAGTACATAGGGTTGCTGTGAGTTGCAGACAACTCAACGGCATACAGCAACAACAACAACTACAACTGTGGAGTGGCAAAAAGCTGCACTGCAATCTGAAAGGCACACAGTTAAAGGCCACCAGCTGCTCGGCAGGAGAAGGATGGGCAGTCTCCTCCTGTGCAATGAACTACCTTTGAAAACCCACCGGACAATCAGCTGTGGGTCGGTTCTGACTCTGCCGTACACAACAACAACACTGCATTAGTGGTTTTATTTGGAAGGTTCCCTTTCTCTCCTGCTCTCAGGCGGGACTGATACAGCACCCACGGCTGCCACGTTGATTCTACTTCAGGGTGTCCGCCCAGGGCAGGGTCGAGCAGTTCCTCCAGGAGGAGAATGCCTCTCCTTTCTCGTGGGAAGCACCCAATGGACTTGAACTACTGGTGTTTTAGTTAAGCACAGTCCTTAACCCCCGGCAGCGCTATGTTTGTTGTTTTTGTTGCCTGAGTCAGGACTGGACCATCACCAGCCCTCCGGCAGGTGTTCAGAGGCAGTAAATTGCACGGGAGGAGAATGGTGCCCTTCTCCTGTGGAGCAGCTGGTGGATTTTGAACCTCCTGCCTTGGGGATTGCAGTGGAGCTCCTTACCACTAGGCTGCCAGAGCTCCCTGCACCACCAGGGCTTGTCTGATGCAGACCCAACCCCAACCCACTGCTCCCCAATTTATTCCAATAGCAGCCCTTCAGCAGGTTTCCAGAACTGTACATTTTCATGAGGATCTCTGGTAGCCTAGTGGTGAGGAGCTGTGCTGCCAGCCGGAAGGTACAAGGTTCAAATCGGATGGCTGCCCTGCAGGAGAAAGATGGGCAGTTTCCTCCTGTGTGATTTATGGCCTCTGCAAACCGCAGGAGGGTCAGTTACGAGTCCGTCCCAACCACAGTACATATAGCAACATACAGATTCTGGTGGGAGGGCACTGCTCATCTCTGTTACATGAACTGCTTGGTGGCCATGAACTGCTGACCAGGGGCTCCTCCTTTTATTAAAAAAAA